TTGAGCGGTGCCGGTCCGTGCGCTGTACATAGAAGCATCTTCACTACTTTCGAAATCACTGCCATCGTCAAGATCAGGTACATCACGATCAAGACGCAGCGCGGCGAAGGTGCGCCCAGGCACGGCGTCCAGCTGGTACATCTCCACCGGCTTCGGCACGCCGCGAAGCGCCACACCGCCAAGCGCAGTCACCTCCACTTGCTCACGCTCAGCCGTGCTCAGCGCAAAGTACGCCGCACGCGTCAGCAGCACCTGCCCGCCGTTCCCAACGCTCTCCGTGCGCGCGGCCATGTTCGACGTCGCACCGTAGTAGTCGTACCCCTTCGTCACCTCGTCGTGCCGAATCTCGCACAGCCCGGTGTGCACTCCGACACGCACGCGAAGGCCGTCCCAGTACTGCCGGTACACAGCATCGTCCAGGCGCGCGGTCGGCGGCACGTACTCCTCGTCCTCCTCGGCACGGTCCTCCTCGAACCTGTGGTACGCGTCGTCGATCACGCTCGTCCCCCAGTCGTGTTGCAGGAACACCTGCTGCAGCTCCCGCACAAGCTGCACGGCGGCGAACGCACTCTTGCACGCAATCATGAACGAGTCGCCAATCGTCTTCACCTCGTAGCAGCGGTACTTCGCTATCAGCGAGCGGATCAGCCGGTGGTGCGTTGCCAAGGCGTCGGGCATCGCCTCGGGGCACGCAGCCCACAGCGCAGTGCTGCTCTCGATGTCAGTGAACACAAGCGTCACGGGGTCTCTCCGCTCCTTCGGTGCGTTCGCGTTGTCACGCGAGTCGCGGCAGAAGTGCAGCAGCAACAGAATCAAGGCAATAAGCAGCAGGGCAGCAACAACGCTGCCGACGATAGTGCCGGTCAGCTGCCGCGCCGTCAGTCCACTCGCAACGGGCATCCGGTACTCCATCGACGGCGTCACGGCAGGGGACAGCACCGGCACAGCGGGGTCCAACGCACGGGCAAGCGGCCACACAGAAATTTGCGTCGCACCGTAGTTCCTGCCGCACCCAGCACCGCTCTGAGTAACAGGGCATGCATTGCCATCAATGAAGGGTCCGTACAGCATGTCATCCACTCTGACGGCAACGTTGGAAAAAAAGAAGTTTTCAAACGGCTCAGCACTCACCTTCTCCATGCGCGAGCGGACGGCCAGCAGCAGCCCGGTGGTGAAGCCCATCATTGCCAGCGGCGTCCGTTTATTGACGTCCGGCACAGCAGCGTTAAACTTCTGGGCGGTCACCGACGTCGTTTTGTCGTCGTTCCAGTGCGGCAGGTTCGTCGCAAACACAACACGGTCGGCACCCGCACCGTCACGGAACGCAGCAACAAATTCGGGGTACAGCATGGAAAACTCTAAAAAAATGACAAACACGCGCACACCGTCGTGTGACACCACGTGCTGCGCGATCGCACCAACATCTTCGGCAGAAATGCCCACCACAAGCACGTCGCCTTCCTCCGGCAGGTGGTCCACCAGCACGTCGCCGCCAGCCAGCTGCTTAGTGGACAGCAGCGAACCGCCAAACGTCTCCAGCGACAGCCGCAGCACCTTCGCCATCGTGGCTCCATCGTCGCTGCGAATCACAGCGTGCGCCAAACCGTCACTCTTTTTCCCGAGGTACTCCGCAATCACAAAGAACTGCTGCTCCAGTGTCGGCAACAGGCGGATCACGTTTTTCCTGAACCTACCAATGCGCGGCTGAAGGTAAATAGGGTCGATGAACGCCACATCCTCCACTTCCAGCATCCCTTTCGTCACCACGCCAGCAACAACATCAACCAATTTCACCTTCAGTTCCGACACAAGCGCAGCGGCGGCCCCATCCACAGTAGAATTCACGAAATTCACTGTGAACGCAAAACGCCTAATAAGACTGTTGTTATTCACCGCAGCTTTCGCACCCACCCCAAAAGCTCGAAGTGCAAAAATGGCAAGGGGATTATCCCGCATTGCAATGGCAAACCCATTCAAAGGAGGAACAATCACTGCTTCCGAGGGGTTGCACTCCCATGTCCGGAATGAGATTGTTCCGTCAACCAGCGGGTCGGCACGGTGGCCATCCACAAACTCTTTCATGTACACGGTCCGGCCACCTTGGTTGCAGTAACACATGGCGCCCTCTGACTCAGCCACCCCTTGGCAACTGCCTCCGTAGTCGCCAATCACAAGGTTGTCGACCATATAACGGCGTTGGTTGTACAGAGAAGCCAAGTACGCGTCACGGTTCTTTGCCCATTCACGACTACTTAAGGTCTGTGAAAGTATCTCGCCCGCTATCCACCCTGCAACCATCATTTCGCCCGCAATAGCATTGTCGGGGAAGTTCTTGCGAAGACCACTGCTTTCCGGCAAAAATTTCTCCATGTAGCTCCGCATCACATCCTGAAAGCGCCGGATGGCGGCGTACCGTGTGTCGTCCGCCAGCGGGTTCGTCACCGTCGTGATCACCTGCCCAGACACAAACTTAATGTCGTCCTTCACAGCAGAACGCCACGTTTCGACAGCAACGTCCTGCACCGCCGAGGGAGCAAGCAGGTACGCGCCAGCGGTGCGATTGTCCGTCAGCATCCTCTGAACGAATTTCGCGGTGTCTTTTACCGGCGCGCCAAACACAATCACAGCCTGCGGCCGAGTATTCGCAAACGCTTCCCACGCAGCGTCGAACACTGAGTTTTCGGCCTCATGAGCCAAGGAGCTCTTCACAGCGAAGACACCGCTCAAATTGTAGCCAAAGCGCGTCATCACGTTTTTCGTTGCTTCGTACTCCTCATCACCGAAAGAAACATCCTCTAGATACATGAAGCCCAGCCGACGCACCCGCAGAAAAGTCAAGGCGTAGCGGATCAGTGCAAAAAGCTCGGCCAATGGATCAGCACGCACAAAGTACAGATAGGGATCCCACCCACGTATCACCGTCGACCCGGTAAATGGGGCAAATGAAATAATTTCTCGATTCCTAATGACAGGCAGATAGTACTCCAAAGTCGCATCACCAATGGCATTAGCAAGAATAAAAATGCTAGGATTAGCCTGAAAAGCCTCTTCAACGGCCTTACCGGATTCAGCCATCGTGGTCAATTTATTGATGAGGGTCACACGTACATTATCCCCAACAATGTAATTGCGCGACCATAATGCCGCAACAAATCCGTGGTAAAGTGATTCCGAAAGGTATGTGGGAATTGGGAGATCCGTCACATTGAGGGTTAAAACTTTTACTTCAATTTCGGGGCATGCGGCCTGCCCAACTCCGCTCTGCGGGAGAAGAAGCAGCAGCAAAACGAGGTAGAGCGCATACGTGGAAAGTCGCCACCCCAAAAGTGGGATGCCACCACAACAGCCCGTTTCCTTATGCAAACCCGGCCCTTGCCGCGCCGCCGCCATCATCACCGCCCATCCCGTGACCATACTCGCCGCCCAAGTAGTACCGTGCTGCGTAGCCTGTTGTCTTCCTACAACATGGGGAGGAAAAAGAAAAAAAAAATAGAAGGGAAGCAAGGCAAGAGAAATGCCACACAAAATAGAGGGAGATGCGGTTCAATTGGATCGGGGTTGGCGACAGTGACGCACGTCAATGCTCTGCCACGCATTCTTCACGCCCCCATGGAAACACTCCACCTACTCGCCCAAATTGCGGCCAGAAGTTAGTCACAAAAGACAAAAGCAAGGGCACCAATTCAACAGAACGGTGGAATCCGCATCGGTGGAGCTGGAACACTCTTCCCAAAGCTGAAGACAAAACAACAGAAGAGGCAGGGTAACATCTCCTTTTATCTCACCGTAATGCTTCTGGTTATACACACACAAAAAAAAAAAACACGGCTTCTGAGCCTAAATGGCAAACTTTTAAAAAAGAGGCGCTTCGGTGGGGTCTGCAGAATCACTGGACCCTGCAGTAAGGTGAAAAATCCAAAGAAACGGTGGCTGTCCAAAAGCAAAAGATACATTTGAACACCTTCCTTCAATTAATTCAAGCACCAAATGTCGGTAAGAGAGGCCCACAAAAAAAATAAAGAAATAAATAAGCCATGGAGAGAATGTGTATGGGTTGGGTGGGCTCCCTCCTTTTCATGGGTTTCCAATAAAATTTCCTGAAGTGTATGTGCATAAATTGACAAGACACGCTTCAGTGCGAACGCAAAATCGATTTCCGACGTTTCCAATACCAAAATGAGAGGTCCGTGCTCCTTTTTGCTGCACTTCTATTAATAGGAAAGAGTGAGGCCACCAAACCACCCCTCATTGCCCAGGAGGCAGGCCCACGAGAGAGTGGAATAGAATTGACGCAAAGTACCTTATAAATGCGGCACCCTTCCCATGACAGCATTCGCCTGGATGCCGTGTGGGAGAAGTGTGTTCTTACCAAAAATGGCCTCGAGATGGAAAGAGGGCACGCAAAAAAAATGAGAATAATCTTCCGGTCAACTGGCCGGATCCTGAAATAATCTATGAAAACCAAACAAGTTAGGAAAAAAGGTTCGTTAGTTAATTGCTTCAATGTTTTCTTTTCATTCAATATATATATATAGAATTCTGTGGACCGCTAGCATGGTCCTTTGTCCTCAGTTAGAATTTGGAATATTATTACTTACGAAGTGGCGGACTTTGGGGTTCTCCAGCCACAAGACCCCGCCGCGTGGTGGGAATCAAAAGAGGCTGTGTCTGTAAAAAAATAAAAAAAAATATTATCTGGCCACCATCGGTTCCCTGCCCCTACAAAGTCGCGTTCTTCCCAAAAGATTCATACGGTAGAAAGTATCATAAAGAATGCCTTCATTTATCAGGATATACATACATTAATTAAGTTAGCCAGCTCTTCCACGATCATTCTTTTCACAAGCTCCTAAAAAAGAAGGTCAACATTGATGCGACGAGTACCATCAAAGATAAATAGAGAAGTATCCCCCCATAAAGTGGATTGATGGCCAGTAAGCATTTCCGTTGGTTAAAATACAAATAAATAAATAAAATGGGAAGTAGTTAAACCTCCTATTATGGCTGCATGCATCACAAAGGTTTCGAGATCCTTCCAGCACCATTATTGTCACAACGCGTCCCAAAATCTTTTAGAAACCCCGCCATCGCACAAAAAGAAAATAGGAGCCAAGGCCAGCGTGATGCGGATGCGAAGAAGATTCCGCTTCTCATTTTCATTTTCCGTCTCGGTACGCAGCGACTTCACAGATCCAGTTCAAACACACAGAGTGGGTAACAGGGAAGTTGAGTGGCGATGCGGACTCTCCAATGCAATGTCGCAAAAAAAAAAAAAAAACGCGGGAATAAGGTTTTTTCATGGACGGACACATCTCGCAACAGCGTCCCGAACGACCTCCGCGGAAACAAAGCGCGTGCCGGAAAGAAAAGAACCCCAAAACCCTGCCGAGGAGCGCGGAAACCCACCCACCGGCCTCGCGCTTCCGCTTCGCGCCCCCGCGGCCGACGCGAAATTATCTTGCGTAACGGGGCGCCGAAAGGGCGCAACTACAGGGGGCCTTTTGGCCGGGTTCTTGGGGTGGCGGGTTTTTTTCATCAGGGGAGCGCCGCTCCCAAAAAAAGGAGACGGAGGGGAGGGGGCGCGGCCAAAGAAGCTTATCTTCCATTTTTCTCATCTTTTTTCTTATATTTTGCAATTCTCATGCGGTTTTGCCGTTAAGTTTTTTTTCTACGCCTTTTTTTTTAGCAACACGAAAATAAAGGGGGTAATGGAGGTCTATTTGGATGCAACGGAGTGTTACTTGAAGAATTCACTCTGTTTTTATCCGAGTCTTAACATCTTTGTTTCTTGGAGTGTTCTTATTGGGGTCCATGTTGGATATATTGTTTTGGTAATTATTCTAAGAAAATGGATGCAACGCCGGGCAGCTCTAAATACGAATAAAATAATGATTATCTACAATGTTACTCAGATTTCTATTTCGGCTATCATGGCAATGTCTCTTGCACCACATCTTAAAAAGGGTTTATTCAATCTTAACGGTCGTTTTTCCGCTAATATTGAATTTTGGATATTCGTTCATTACTGTAGCAAGTTCTTGGACATGTTTGATACAGTATTAATGATTTTTAGAAAAAAGAATGAACAACTGTCATTTCTTCACATTTATCATCACGCCACAATTGGGTTTATCTGGGGCCTTCTTTTAAGGAACGGCATTGGTAACGGGACCGCTTTCTTTGGAGCATGGGTGAATTCAGCCGTTCACTTTTTAATGTATTCCCATTATCTATGGACATCTTTGGGTTTTAGAAATCCCTTAAAATCTACTCTTACTAAAATCCAAATGTTTCAATTTTTCTTGTGTATTGTGCAGGCCTCGTTGGCTCCTTTTTTTGATCATCAGTTTGCCTTACAGTGGTCTTTTCTCCAACTAACATACCATATAACTTTGTTTATCCTTTTCCTAGACTTTCATAGGAAATCGGGGAAGAAAAAGGGTTTACGGAAATTGAAGCAAACGGAGTAGTTATTTCTGGTGAAAAAGGCTTAATAAATTTCTTTTCTTATTCTTTACGCACATATTTGTGGGGGTAGGGAGCTTTTGGAAATGATGTCCGCAGGGAAGTTTGGCTGCCTAAATTAGTATGTATTGCGATAAGATATTTCTGTATGTTTATTTCCCATTTTATGATTTTTTGGTGGACCAGGATGGAAGGAATCAGGGAACCGATAGTGGTAAGAGGAAATCATTTATTTATTTATTTATTTTTGACCTCTCACTCACCTACTTTCGTTCCTCTTCTTGCAGCGGGGTCTTGCGGCTGGAGGATCCTAAATTCTGCCAGTTTGTAATTAATAATTACCTCCAATTTGGATAGAGCCCAACATGCCATGCGAGTGGATATCGAATTATATATATATATATATATTATTGGAGCAAGCTTTGAGTGTGTAGCGAAGCCGTTGCCTTTACAATACCCTCTTCTTGTTTGCCCCATTTTATTTAGCTATTTAATTTCAGTATCCGTCCGGTATCCTGGGCGAATATTCTTTAAGGAAGTAATGAGGAAAATAATATTTTTTTAAGATGTTCATTTGTGGAAGATTTGCTTTACAAAAGCAACTGTCTTTTATAATGCCTTTTTTTTTTTTTTTTTTTTTTTTTTTTCCTTTCTGAATTGTTAGTTGTTTATCCTTTGTGCTATGGATTCCCCTGCAAAGGGCGACGCCCGTCAGGGTTTAAAGGCAAGTCAGAAACACATAGAATTCCAGTTGCAGCGTGAAAAGGCCTACACCCGTGAGCTTCAAGATAAGATCAAGTCACAGCAAGCTCACATAGCCAAACTTGACCAAGACAAAGCGGAGCTAAGACGTGAGCTCATCACGCTCACTGACGACGAGAAGAAGAAAACGAAGCTGGAGGAAAAATGTCATGCATTACAAAAGGAACTTGCAGAAAAGCAAGCCGCATTGACAGTAGAACAAAAACGGGTTACATCGGTCGAGTGCGAAAAGGAGCAAATCCGGCGTGATGCCCATGCTTCCATAGCAAAATGGTGTGAGGCTGAGAAACAATGGATTGCTGAGAACGAGGCCCTCCAAAAAGAATTAGACGATGCAAAAGAGACCCTTGTGAAGTTAAAGGGCGAATCTGAAGCACTGGCAAACAGTCGCGATGATATATTGAAACAATTACAACGTGAAAAAGAGCGTTCTGCAAGGCTAGAGTCCACTGCTGCCGTAACTGAGAAGAAGATAGCCTCTTTGCATTCTCGTATTGAGTCATTACAGAATGATATATATACACGTGATGAAACCGTCTTTAAGTTGGATGAAGCTGGCAGTAAATGGCAAGAGATATGCCACTCAAAGGATGATGAAATTAGATCTTTGGAAGTACAGAATAAAAAGCTGTCGGATAATATTGAACAACTTCAAACCACCATTTCTACGCTTAACCAACGCATTGAGGCCATCAAATTGCTAGGTATAGAAGAGAAGGGGAGAACCGAGAAGATTTTATGTGATCTGCGTGAGTTTGAACAAGAAAACAAACTTCTTCAAATAGAGTTGGAAGCAGTTCGTCGTGATCTTGAACATGCCTCACAAAATGCATCTAAGCAACAGGAAATGATAACAGATCTGCGTGCAAAGCTAGCGGCATCAGCCGAGCAATTAAAAGAAAAGAACTCTGAAATACGAAAGCAGGAACTAACTATTAGTCAACTCACAGCAGATTTTAAGCAGGCAGAGCGAGAAAGAACTGATAATAGTTATTTGGCGAGTTCTCTACAAAATGAGCTACAGAGTCTACGCAATGCATTTGAAGAGGCACAATCTTTGGTAAAATCCCTTCAGGAAGAGAAGGCATTAATTGAAGTTGAATTGCAACGGGCGAAATTATCACAGAAGCAAAGG